CATTCTTTTCATTCTTCTTTACAGAAATTGTACCCTTATATGGAACGGTTTATGTTTTCATTTTCTTGTCTTCTACTTCTTATGGGCCCTGTCCTCTTGTACCATAGCGCGCACAACTAGTGAGGAGTGGGGTAGCTAACTAATCCAGCTCAGTCATGGTTTCGTCTCTTTCAATCTCATAATAACCTTTCCTTCCAAGGCTGGTACAAATAGGATGTTTGGTCTCTTACCGTTTATCAATTTTCTCATTGAAACGGTAACTTTAGTTAAATCTTATGACTTTGTGCATTTTTGAGAAATTTATCATGAGATTGATTTTTCATTAAAGTTTAACTTTTTCTCTTAACTTGACATCGACTTGACGTCGATACATATTTTTCACATAATAGAATTATACTGCTACTTAAGTCTTGTAGATACATGCATAACATTGTATCTAACATTCAGGAGTCATCTTTCACATTCTAGCATACATCTAGTCTACAATATGCTCAGATTGAGCAACATAGAGAAATAAATTTATTCGCGTTGTAGACAAGAAAAACTACTGATACTTACAGAAGTTTCACTAATGTTGCGTCCTTTGTCTCACTTGATGCTTTCCGACTTCGATCGTTAACCAATCCTATTGCATAAATTTTGTATCGTTAGATTCAAAATCTAAGAGCAATAGTTACATTAAAATTTAATTCAAAAAGATCTACAATCCTTATGTTTGGTATTCAATGCCAAAATATTTTCTATCTCAGGAATTTGCACTAAAACCGTGCACCTTCCTCAGTCATGGGCATAATTTTCAGTTTTGGTCCAAAACTGAAAATTCTCATTGTGTTCAGTTTCTATACATCACCGATTTTTGAATCGACTTACTTTTCACACTTTAATCTCTTATTCCTCTTGAAATCCGGTTCTAGTTCAAATGCTCAAATCAAATTTTAGCAGAGTTCTGCCTATTTCTCTATATTTCCCGAGCTAACTTTAGCTCACTTTTATCCATTATTTTCACCTTCAAACACAAACAATATCCTTTCTCTTTCAATTCACCATCAACATCATCATGGTTCTAGGGTTTCTCCATATTTCTATCAAAATTCTCTATATCAAGAATTGCCAGAAATAAAAGTTCAATAACCAAGAATTTATTCTTAGTTCACTAGATTTCAAGTTCCTTAACCATTACAAGCAAATCACCATTTTTAGTAAAAATTTTTCCATACTTTCCCCACACTTCCACGGCAGCCAAGGAAGAGAAAATAAGAGGAAAAACTTGAAATCTCACCTTAGGGAATGGAGAACAAGCTTTAGTGACGCTATTTCTCAGTAATTCCGTCAATTTTCGCTTAAATCCCTCTTTTCTCACTTTGGAAATTTTTTTCCCTCTCTTTTTCTCTTGGCTTGGCTCTCTGGTTTTTTTCTACTTGAAAAGTGACCATTTACTTGTATTTGTTCATCATTGAACCGACCATCAAAAAGTAAGAGACCAAACAATGCAAATTTTGACTTTTTCAAGGACTTTTTTGCAAAAATTCCAACTAATATCTCTTGCTTCCTCACTAAGTTGGCCGGCTGCCCCTTTTTTTTCTTGCTTTCCACATGTCCTTATCTCAGTCACTCATCAATTTAATTACTTTAAATCCTAGCCATCCATTCATAATAATTATCTCATTTATGTTCCGTTTAATTCATGTCCAGTGTGCGTTTTATCTGCATTTTTCAGACAGTTGGTCAACTTAGTCAACCTTGACCACTCTTGACTAACTTTTTGAGGGCGACGTTTTGGTCAACAAATTTTGAATCGGTCCACTTAAATCACTCAAAACCCAATTTATTCGATTCGGCCTTCCGAACCCCTTTTTTCATCCATTTTTCACTCCGATTGTTTCTAAAACCCTAGAATTGATGTCTTTCAATTCTCTTTCTTTTCTTAACCTTAATAGTCATGTGTTTACCCACTTGTGGGTTTAACACAACATTCTATACTTCTTTCTTGATCATAGTTCAAAAATCCATAACTACATCGTAGCTTAGAAATTTCTGATTTTTAACTTATAACTCGCCATTTCCTATTTATATCAACAAATACATATCATAAAAGTAGTCATATTAATAATACAAAAGATTCTCAGCAATATTATCCTACACAATAATTCTGATAAATTGCTCGGTCTTGATAGAAAGGTCACCAATGGAAAAAGAAATTTTACGTAACCATGGATAATAATAGAAACCAAATTATCAAAATTTGTAGAAGAAGCAAAAAAAAAAAAAAGGAGGACAAAACTTTGTAAAATCCAATTGAAAAACAATGAATAAGATCAAAATCAAATTAGAAAAATACTATTCACAGTAATTTCTAGAGAAACTATATAAAACTCAACACATCAAAATTAATTACTATCATCATTGTCATGCAAAGTAACTTACCAAGACTAAACGAAGACTAAAGTAGGTAGAGAAATATATATGTATATATATGTATGTATCTATAATATGCATGTATACATCATCAGAAAATAAATGAAACAGTAAATGTATAAGGACAACTTACTAAGCAAATACAAAGAAAAAAATGACAAATAACAGTAAATATCAATACTATCCTAGCAAATGAATGCATCCAACGTCAGGGATATGAATTAAATAGATATGGATAGCGATTATGAACAGTTCCTGGAACAGTATAGATAACGACTTAAATTTGAAATGTCAACCAACCAGATGAAAGTAAGGGTGAAAGGCTCATAAATAAGATAATCAAGTATTAAGTAAGGTCGAGAACGAAACGATAGACCAGCTAAAAGAGCAGTAAATGATGTAAATTGAGATAAGGAAGCAATGGGTGAAAGAGGAGAGAGAGAAATGGGGACATGTATAATAAGTCCATCAGCAGGGACATTCTTATAGAAACAGAAAGCAAATGCACCACCTTTAAGGAGATTACACGTAAAACAGAAAGTTGGTGGATAGGATATAGAAAACTAAAATTCGTAAATTAAGTAATAAGAATAATACAATATAAAAAAAACAGGGAAAACAAAGGAACTGCAGAAGAGGAAAAATTAGATGATAAAATGGAGAAAAAAAGGGAAAAGAAAAACACAATCAAATTTTTTCCTACACAGAAATTTCTTTCCAGTTGTAGAAAGTAGAAAAAAATAGAAGATTCATTCAATCTTTCTACAGTGATATGAGTACGGATAATTGACATGACACAACAAATAGACACTACATATAATATAGTGATGACCTTAATAAATGCTGAAGAAAAAACATAGTAATCACCTGGAAAAAAAAAGAACAAAACATGAAAGAAAAGAAAGAAATAGGAACAGCAAAGGGGGAAAATTTTACCAGAGAAGGAAATGAAGAAAAAGAAAAGAAGGGAAAAGAAAAGCAATCAAATTTGTTTGGCCCAAAAAATTGCTTTCCCATTGCGAGAAGAAGATAAGAATAAAAGATTTATTTAAAATTTCTATAGTAACATAGGTACAAATGATCAACGTGGCAGGGTAAATAAGCATTGCAGATATTATAAGTCATTACCTTAATAAATGCTTCATAAAAAATATGGAGATCAACCGAGACAACATAGAAACATCCATATAAAGATTCCTCACTAAATACAAAAACAAATGAAGATAAAGAATTAAAGATCAAAAAACAAAATCTCAAAAATCATATGTACTATCCACTCAAAAATCGCATATGATGTTGCCACATGTTAAAGAATTTAAATAGCTAAGGCCAGGAACCAAATAGCAGGAAACACAACAGAAAGAAACATTAAAAACATGAGGGAAAACAAATTGAGCATGCAATCTTTCAAAATTACTATACCAATCAAGAAATAAATCAAAACATAATTCTCCAAAACCACAGGAAAAAAGTAAATGAACGGAATAAACATGCAAAATCAAACAAAGCGAAAAAAGATATAAGCTGAAACGAAGAACAAGACCAACATCAAACATAGCTACATCAGCAAACACATAAATGTAAAACATAATAGAGCGAAATCACAACAAGAAATTAAACCAATGCTATAAAAACACCAAAGAAAATATAAACGACAACAGAAGCAGAACATCAAAGAATCAAAAAGGGGTAAGAATCTAACAACAAAATTATCAGATACATTAAACTAGAAAGATCAAGAAATAAAAAGGAGCAAAAAAACCAAACCGAAAATCGCAAATGAAGACAACCAAAGCCGATGAATACAAAGATCCGCCGATAGAATGGAAGAATCCTGCACCAACACATTAATGAGTTCCAAAGAATTTATAAAAAAAAAAAACAATAACAAAATAAAAAACTAGACAAAAAGGAACTAAAAATACTGAAAAAAAAAACACAGGGAAAAATAAACAATGAAGCATGCACTCTAAGAAAACCACATAAAAACCCAAAGCAAAACAATGGACGAAACCAATGGAGAAGCAAGCAAGAAGAATCGGACAGCCCTACAGCAAGAACACCCAAAAAAAAAAAAAAAACCCCAATCTAGATCGCAAATCCAAATACTCAAAAAAAAATCCATAAAAGAAAAGGGATAAAAATCCCAACTCTCCACGCAAATGAGACAAAGGGGCAAAGAGATCGAAGCCATAAGAGAACATATCCAAGATTTCAGCCCAAACCAAGCGAAAGTAACGAATCAGAGGAGGAGGAGAAAGGAAAAAAAAAGTCAAAGCGGCGCGGAGAAAAGTAGAAACTTCTGGAAGGAGCAAACATAGGGCTCCACACCTGAAATGACCAAAAACCACACGCCAATGGCAAAGCAAACGACAACAAAACCTAAAGACCAAAATGCCCCTACGCCAGACGAAGAAGGGAGCAGTAAATGGAGGGCAAAAGCGTCATTTTACTATAGAAAGAACAATAGATTATGTCTGTGTGAAGAGTACCTCCGAGCTCTCCTTTAGTATATTTATATAATTTTCTCTTTTTTTTCTCCCTAATAAAGAATATTAGAAATTTGTTTTGTAGAAGGATTTGTACATTAGGACAAAGCCTTTTCCATTTCGAACTCTAAATATTAGAACAAGTCTTATAAAAAACCATTTTTGGTCTTCTTCTCGTGATCTCATAATCAACAACATTATATATAAAACTAAAAGCACTCCCCTCAGAATCTTTGCCCTGTACTTCCCAATTCCTAACTCTTCCTTCGCTTTACACCACTCTTCCCTCTCTCTCTCTCTCTCTTCTCTTTCTCTCTCTCTCTCTATCTACAGATCTTTCTCTTTTTCTCTCTCTATATCGTAAGCTCCAGATCAGTCCCAAAGCAGGTATCTTTAGCTCCTTCTCTCTCTACAATTAATTATTTGTTTGGCTCTGTCAAATTTGATCTGGGATTTCCGATTCGATGATTGATCTATCAGTTTCATTGTTCGAAGATCAAACTTCTTCACTCCTTTATTGGGTTTGTCGTAGTAATTGGATTTAGGGTTCTGAATCTTTGCCCAATTGCAATCTAGATGTCGTTTTCTTAATTATTTTGATGATTTCGTTTCTGGGTTTGTTTCCTTTTTTGTTTCCTTTTTTCTGATAACCTGGTTGACCTTTTTTTGTGTTTTTTTTTTTTTTTAATAACTTTAGTTTCTGAGCATGGCGTACGGGAAAAAGGGGTTTACTTTGTCTGTTTACAATTTTCTTTTTTCACTGAGAAATTGTTATGCTTTTCATGTTGATCCATTCTTGTTCAGCTATAAATTAATTTAATTATCATGATGTTAATTAAATAAAGCCTAAATGAAATTAAGTTCTTCATATCATGTTTGTTCCGATACATTTAGCTATTCAGAGAGTCATGCCATTTTTTTTTCTTTTTTTTTTTTCCTTTTGATTGTTTTTCGTTTTTCAGTTTTTTGAGCATTTATATCAATAACATTTTCAATGATTAAGTCCTTGCGATCATGTATTAATGTTGTTGAACTTTTCTCTTTCAGATGGCAATGCAGGAAAGTCCCGTTTCGGCCGAAGTTGTTGGGAATGCGTTTGTGGGGCAATATTACAAAATCCTTCACCATTCTCCGGAATTGGTGCATCGATTTTATCAGGATTCGAGTTCGCTTAGCAGGCCAGATGCTACTGGCACAATGGCAACCGTGACAACAATGAAGGCAAGTATATTTACGTTCCATATTCTTGGATGTGCCTGTTCTTCAATGTTTGGTTTTGGATTCAAATTCTTGGTGTCGGAAAATTTTATTGTAAGTTATGCCTATGTCAGAAAAAGAAAAACTTGTTTATAGAGGATTTATTGTCACTTAGTGAGCCATTGTGGGGAAAGATCATTTTGATCTAGTATTTTGCCTGTTTGCGGATTAGATTTGGCAGAGTTTTTGTTATGTAAGTCTGTATTTAGCCCTTTGCTTGCTTTTTGAACTAGTCGGTAGATGAAGTAGCTATTGGATGCTGTCTGGGTGTGTTGTTTGATTTTTATAGTACTCTTATTCTAAAATGATTAATAGCTTCTATTCCGGAATTTTGCTGTTTAATGTTTGAGAATGACAACTTATATAAATAATCTTGTATAGATCTTCCCATAAAAAATTACCAGGTTAGCTAATTGTTTTTCAATTTTTGAATTTTGTTTCTTTTTTTTTTTTTTTTTTGAAGGGTAAAGAAAGAAAATGCGTTTGAAGTATTACAGTTGAATTAGAGTTTTAGATTTTGAGAAAATATATGCATGTCTTGACATTATGTTATTGACTAAGCAGGCAATAAATGAGAAGATTTTGTCCTTGAAATATGAGGACTATACGGCAGAAATCACAACTGCGGATGCTCAGGAGTCATATGAGAAAGGAGTAATTGTTCTAGTAACTGGATGCTTGACAGGAACGGACAACATCAGAAAGAAATTCACACAAACATTCTTTCTTGCTCCTCAAGACAAAGGTTACTATGTCTTAAATGATGTATTTAGGTTTGTTGAGGAGAGCAAAGTATTGCAGGTCAACTCTGTCCCAGTTAATGGCATCAGCGAAAATGCTCAGGAAGTTTCCTTGGCTGCAGAACCAGGTCTGCATTAGTCTTCCTTTATAAATCAAGTGTTTATCTAGGGCTTGGTTTAAACTCCATTTGCAAATTCTTCTTCCTTGATATCATTTTTTGATTTATGGTTTTCACTTTTCAGAGCCTACTACTCATTCTCCTGATAATCCAGTGGTGGACCCTGCAAATCCTTCAGAAGAGGAAGATCCTAATGATGGTGCTGAAGTTTACGATCCTTCAGATGATGAGGACAGCTCTGTGGTCGAAGATGAGGTTGTGGAACCCCCTTCTCATTCAAGTTGGAACAGAAGTCTTCCAGTTGTTGATTCTGCTCCTGAAACCCAGGAGGACATTCCAAAGAAATCATATGCATCGATTGTGAGTTTATTGCTATTTATTGCTAATTTTATTCTTTGTTTCTGTATATGTTACACTTTTACATACCTCTCTTTCTGACTAGCACGCAACATTTAGTTGAAGGTAATGAAGGCTAGTACAACGCCAACACCTGCATATGTTCCTAACCGAGCTGTTGTGAGGACAACAACAACAAACACTGATCAACAATCGTCTAATTCTGCAAAACATGCCCCTGTTGTGGGGGTATCAGCTCCTAGTGGGAGTGGTGCTCCTGAAAGTGACTCTGCACATGAAGAAAGTATGTATTTCTCGATTCAAACTGTGCGAATATAAATGTTTCTAAAAAAACGTTTTAGCTTCTCGTTACACTCTTTTTAGGAATTGGTCTCTTTTAATTTTTCATATATAAAAGAAGGTTGAACTGCGAGTGTAAAGGCTCTATATTGATCTGGAAGGGTCAATATTTCATCATTCTAGGTTTCATGTCTACAAGTGCTGGTATTTTCCCTATAAAGCGTCGCATATTTCAATTTTGGCATGTATTTTTCACAGCTGAAGGTCATTCCATATATGTGCGGAACTTGCCGTATGATGCAACAGTCGAACAGCTGGAGGAGGAATTTAAGAAATTTGGCCCTATTAAACGTGATGGGATCCAAGTCAGAAGTAGCAAGGTTTGCCTTTGATGCAATTTCATATAAAGCATTTTCCATTTCAACTGATGATTTATTGATGTGGCACTTTCTGATGATATTTCTTTGGGTTTTTTGCAGCAAGGATTCTGTTTCGGCTTTGTCGAATTTGAAAGCTTGAGTTCCATGAACAGTGCACTGCAGGTAGGTGTACAAACTTATTTATGAGTTGTAAATGCTTTCCACATGTATACAACTACTCGTTTCATGTTCTTAAACATGTGTACTGTGTTACTTTTGATTTTATGTTCTTATTAAATTTGATCGGTGTCTGACTTATGAGTACATGGATTAGTTTGTTTAATGCAATAGATCTCTATTTTCAGGAAGTTCTTTACTTATGCCATTATAAACAGAGCTCATTTTTCTTCGCCAGTTTATTCATGTTAACTTATACTGTTATTGCACTGTACTATGAGTTTACTTCTCTTCTTTCTGTATCTGATATAAATCTTATTTGACTTGCAGGCTTCACCTCTTACAATTGGGGATCGTCAGGCCGTTGTCGAGGAGAAGAGAACCACTACTCGAGGTAAGACTTAACAAGTTTCTGTCGGTTTGAGTTGTTGAGCATTAAACCACTAGTCTGTGGAGTTGTATAAATATACCTGAACATAAGTGACATGAGAAAAAACCTTTGTTTGGGTTGATGTGTTTGTTTGGAAAAGAAGCCTAACAAAGCTGTTATTTGTTTCAGTTAGTGGGAGTGGGAGAGGGAAGTTTTCTTCTGGAAGAGGCGGGTTCCGTAGCGACAGTTTTAGAAGCCGTAGCAACTTCGGTGGCAGTCGCAATTATGGAAGGAATGAATTCAGAAACCAGGGTGAGTTTTCAGGGCGAGGTAGGGGTTCAACTGGGCGCAGCGGAGAGGGTTATCAGCGTAATCAGAATGGAAGAAGTGGACGCCAAGGCGGTGGGGGCCGCGGTTCTGTTGCTACTTGAACATTGGTAGAAGGAAGCGGTGGATAGGCATTTTTTGGGATACAAATGAGGCTCATTTTTTTTTTAATCTTCTTTTTATTTTTTCCCTCTTTTAGCTCCCTTTTCTTATGGATAAATGAGGGGTACTAAGATTTAGAATTTTTTTTTTCAACTTCAACCATTGACCAAGATTATTGTCTTTTTTTTTTTTTTTTTTTTTTTGCCTTTTTTACCCCTCTGGCTTATTTTATAAGAGCTTGCTTGGCTTGGAGAAAATGCAATTGTGCAATATATTCTTTTATAAGAACTGATGTTTTCATTCTGATACACTTGTTTATACGCGTGATCTCCATCTCTTTCCCTCTCTTAACACAGTTTTAAGACAACAGTTGATAAAAATTCGCTCTTATGATGGTATGCTCTAGTTACAATCTAAATATGACTAAATTGCTATATGGGCAAGATAATGTGATTGATTTTAAGAAATGCTAATTATTGTCTATTATTGAGTATAGTTGTCCATTAGTAGAGAACTAAAAGATGATTATCACATAAATTCAAACCAGTCGAGTAATTTAAGATCCTCAAATTCCCATTTGATAACATACACTACTATTAGAGCAAAAGAGCTAGTGTAATGTTTCTCATCTTGAATATCATGTTCTTCCAAGTGTAATGTTTATAAAGCAAGTGTAATGTTGCTGCCTAACGATATACTCTCGCGAGTCTCATATCATATGCGCCGTTTGATTTAAATGGTATGGTTGTTGTTAATGACCTTATAATATATGTAAAATAGGATAACCCGACGATCGAAATTTCCTATCTACAGAGTAATAGAATATGCATGAACTCTCGTTACAATAAAAGTAATTGGAACCACACTGAGAACTCATATGCTGATCCTTGTAGTGAGATTAGAGAAAAATCAGGCTTCTTAGAGGAATGAATCATAGTGAGAGTGAGACCTTGAAGTAAAAGAGTTTACGGAATTTTCAATTTGATTTCTGCAAGTTTGATACAAGATTTGAAGCGGCAAAAGCTGCAGAACCCCCAGCCACAGAGACCAAAGCAACAACAGCTTGGAGGGCTATCTCCCAAGGGTAGTCCTCAGGCACAAAGTAAACAAAAGAAGGTCCCAAAACCAACAAAACTAAGCTCAATGTCAACAATGCCCCTGGAGTTCCCGGGTCTGTGGCTGCTGATAGCACCCCGAATTCCTCGGCCTTTGACAGCAGGCCAAGCCTCTCTATTGTCGAAAGAGAGAACCCAAACTTCTCAGCCGCAGACAACAGCCCGGCTTTCTCCGCCTTTGTCAGCAGTTTCAGCTGCTCCACCCTTGTCAGCAACTTCACTGGTGTGCCGCCTGTCAAGGGGCTGCTCCGCGCCTCCTCGCCTAGCGGGAACACAGTTGAATTCTGTGGATAAAAATGGCAACCCATTTTAGTACACAACAATTCATCAAGATTCCATTTTCATTGATGATATAATATGCCACCAGAAGAGTCCACAATCTTGAATGAAAGTCATCATAACAGTATGGATGGTAACGCTACTAAAATGCATTTGATAGCATCTAATTAAACATAAATGAGTTTCTATCCTCGTTAAAATGAATATAAATTGCTCATCTTGAATAGTATGTTCTTGTAACTAAAACATGGAGTAAATTAATGTTGCACCCTTAATTTAAGCCGTCAATTTGAAAACGTCCACAGTTATTGGACTTCAATTGCTATTGATTTTAAAGTTTAGAGTGCAATTTGTCAAAACTGAAGGGAAAAAACGTAAAATTAAATGTGCAACACTGCAAATATGTAATGTAATTAATGAAAGCAGAAAGATCTCTCCTTTCAATAATTTCTAGTTGGAGAAATGATATGTTTACATTATAATCCACAAATGATTATAGAAACCAGTAGAAAAAGGAATAAAAAATAAAAAAATAAAAAAATAAAACTGACCTTCCTGGAGCTAACAGTTCTATTAGCAGTTGGAATGGGCTTCTGGGTGGCCATGGATTTGATGAGAAGGGGTGAGAAAGAGGCAGAATTCTCTGTTATTGCTCTGCACCCACAAAATGCTCTTGCGGCCATTCTCTCTCTCTCTCTCTCTCTCTCTCTCTCTCTCTCTCTCTCTCTCTCTCTCTCTCTCTCTCTCTCTCTCTCTCTCTCTCTCTCTCTCTCTCTCTCTCTCTCTCTCTCTCTCTCTCTCTCTCTCTCTCTCTCTCTCTCTCTCTCTCTCTCTCTCTCTCTCTCTCTCTCTCTCTCTCTCTCTCTCTCGCGTCCTCTATGTGGTTCACAGTGGTTGGCTGGAATTTGGATCTCAGGAGGAGCCCAACAATCTGAATGAATGATGGACAAGAAAAAATGAAGGATTGGCTTCCAGATTTTGCATTCCACGTGTCATGATTTTATGTGAAATATGATTTTAAAAATAATCACATTTTAATTTTTTTATTACAATTTTCACATAAAATTATATTTTAATTTAAATTAAAAACTCAAATCAGTAAAATAAATAAATTTTAAATATTTTCCTAAAAAAATGTTAAATATTAATAAAATATGTTGATTATTTAATTCTGTTTAAGTGGCAAAATTATTTTTACCCTCAGCATTTCGTAAGATTGATTTTTCTTTTCTTTTTTTTTTGGTTTTGCATTTATTTCTTTAAGGGAAGAAGACAAATACTCTAAAGATTAATTTAATTCAATTAAACTCAATTTAAACGGTGAGTACAGTTTTAATTCGTCCCAGTTTAAATTATATTATGTGTTTGAATTAAGTTAAATTATCTAATTTAGAGTTTAACTCCTCCTAAAGTTCAACCCTTCAAAATATTTTTAAACAGCAAAAAGGTAGCAACTCTCTCCTTTTTACATTACCAAACACAAATTTAAATTTTATTCCCTATTCAAATTAAAATTTTAACTGTATATCAAAATATCAATTCAAACTATAATTTAATTCGCTGATTCAAGTTTTTAATTCGAGTTGAGATGTGACTTTATGTGAGAGCTTTTTAATGTAATAAAAAAGTAAGATATGATTGTTTCTGAGAACTTTTTATTATAGCAAAACTCGAATCGTGAAATGAACAAGGCCCTAAACAGTTTAAATTTTTCTGTTTAAATTAAAAAAATTCAAATCAATAAAATTCAAACTAGCGAATAATCAAACGGGAACTATATTAGTTAACAAGGTATTAATCAAGAATAATAATAAAAAATCTAGATTCATACACTTTAAAAATATATTCAACTATAAGAATATTTTATTTCATGACTTTTCTAAATAGTGAAATAAATTGTGTGATTGACATACACGGGATTGTTGATGCAAGCGTAGTAATGGTGAGTAGAAACGTGAAGAGCTAATTAATCAGGAAATGTGAGATTTATTCAACAATAATTATGAAATTTACCAACGAATTTAGATTAATAAATATAAAACTAATTTGGCAAACGGCTATTTTTAACTTAAAAATTGTGTCAATCACTTTTTCAAAAAATACTAGACGATAATTTTTTAGATCGGGAGGTTTCATTTTTATTTAATATTCCTCATCTTTTTTACCATTGAAATTAGATCGGGTGGTATTTTTTAGGCCTTGTTCGGTAGAGTAACTTTTGAGTGAAAAATTTTAAAAAAGTAATTTGAGTTATAACTTTATTCGAGTTCATGTTCTTTTAAGTTTGAACTTGAGTTTGAACTCGAGTTTGAACTCGAGTTTGAAACTAAAACTCGAGTTCATGTTTCCCTTTCAACTCGAGTTCAGAAACTCGAACTCAAGTTAATGAACAATATTTTTTCTATTCTTAAAAATGATATAACTTTTTCGTTTTAATTCTAATTGAGATGATTTTTTTTCTATGCGTTAACAATGAAAAGACGAATAAAACTAGACCCATATACCCTATTAAAATTTTTCATCAGCATTGAGTTTTTATTAAAATACTATGTAAATACAAATTCAAGTTTTAACTTACTCAAACACAAACTCAAAAAAGATTCTTATCTCAAACCATAACTCAAATGTACACAACTAAACACAAACTCAAATTACAACTTCAATTCAAGTTATAACTCAAACTCAACTCAAAATCTACACTCAAGTTACTTAACTCAAAAATATCAAAAGAACAAGCCCTTATTCTCTACCGGTTGGGAGAAAGTACATCCCTACTATAGAATAAAAATTCTCAAAAATATTAAATTTAATTTTTTTTATTATAATAAAAAAAATTTAAAAAATTTAAAAAATATCACATCTCAACTTAAATTGAAAATTCAAATTCGGGAAGCAAAATGAATGTTTACTTTCCCAATGATGACCCTTTGGCTCAGCGAGATCGCGGGAACTAGAAGAGGATATTTTCGTAATTTGGAAGGTAGCTACTAACTCCTATTAGCACGCCCACATTTGCTTGTTACTCTCTCCCATCCTTCCCCAAGACCCGAAACCCAAAACCCTAATCAAAATATATATCTCTCTCGCTCTCTCTGCACATCAATGGCGGACTCTATTGTCTCGCTGGACATGGTGAAAGGTTTCTTGTACGCCCAGTACAACGACGAGGAAAAGTGGGCCCACAACATGGTACTTCTCTTTTGTAATTCGATTTATTGTTTGTTTCTTTTTATTCATTTTTTTTAGGCGTTTGAATCTGTTTTTTTAAGTTCACAACTTTTTTCCGCTTAACAAATTTAAATTAGAGGGCCATCTTAAGTTTTGGAGTTGTTTGGTATTTTTTTTTTTTACCTTAATTAAGTGATGGGTTCTAATTGTTTAACGTTATTCATTGAATTTTCAGTTCTAATTTGTTAGATTGATGTTGTTATTTTCTGGAGACTGGTCTTGTTTTTCCATATATTGCGCTGATGAATATAATAGCACTTGTATTGTTCATGGGATGACTTTAATTACGATCTGATGGACAGAATAAAATACTCAGGAGAAATGTGCTTCTGGCCTTCTATGTCATTTGAGTTTTATCATTATCATTATCGTTATTATTATTATTATTTTTTTATATAAGACAGCATTGAACCCGCAACCTCCCACCCAAACGCCCCAGTGCCACTAGACCAAGAGGTCTTAGGTATCATCATCATTTATATACTAAGGGTACTTTGGCCATTATTTATATACTAAGGGTACTTTGGCGTTTTCACGCTTGTAATTTTGGCTACCTAGTATTCTTTATATTAATGGGGAATCGTGTTGAGGGTTAAGAGATAGGTTGGAGAAAACACAGTAAATCCGAGAGACGTGATTTCTCTTGTAATCTTGTTCTTTATCATTGTGAAATACTGCAGCGGGTGAAAGTTGTCACAGCTCTTACATTGAGAGTGAACTTCTATAATTTTCTTTTTTTTCATGCTTGTTTGTTTTTTCTTCTGCGATTTTACTGCTTTCAGTAGTTAAGAATTAGGATCTATAATTCTTAACGGATGTCTTCATCTTCTACTCTGTTACTACATTCCTGTGCATAATCCTGCGACGGTGATTGTTTAAGAACTCTGATTTGTCCGCAAGTTAGTAATTAGTCTACATTTGTGTGTGTGTGTGTGTGTGTGTGTGTGTGTGTGTGGATCTCATGAGTTATTTCTTAGAAATGCATTGTTTTGGTTGAGAAAACAGTTTCATTCCAATCTGTTTACATTTCTCTCTCTCTCGCAGAAATTGCTTCGGGCTGTGGGGCTTTTTGCAGGATCAATAGTTCTGATGCGAAATTACGGTGATCTAATGGCAATATGAGGATATTGATTGGGACTGTTCTTAGTTGGCTAGCTTTTCTTAAAAATGTAGTGTCTCTGTTTGCCACATTGATCGTGCTTATCATACCATTCAAAGGCGCGTTTTCTCCATGTTTTCGACTGTAGTAAAGAAAATGATTTCATTCTGTTTCTGAAGCTTGTTGAGAATGCTTGTTACCAGTGTTTCTACAGATGAATGAAATGATCGACTTTAGTTGATGAATAGTTATGTGTTTGGATAAAATAAATACATTGATTTTACTATTGTTGCTTTGATTTCACTGTCAAGTCTAGAAAAATTTTGTACTTCCAAAACCATTTTCAAGCACCAAATATTCTTTTAAGTTTAATGAGCATCCCAAGAACAACAAATTATTGGGGTGAGAATCCTCAACACTTGCATAATAGATTTGAGTTGTTGGTCCAAGAAAGAAACGCGTGTGGTCATTGGACAATCGGTGTATGTTAGGGACTGAGGGAAATTGATGCTTTCTGTATTATACTTGACTAACTTGAATGAACAGCTCCCTCTTGAGATGTACTCATACAGTTTGATGGCTTTGGCACGAATACTTTACTGGCGAATTGTATCCCGGAGGTGGGTTTGTCACAAAATGATTAGGATATTCATCGGGGTCCGGGGCTTTATTCGGCCCTAGTGCAAAAACAGCATGCTTCGCAAAATGATTCCAGAGGTGGGTTTGTCACAAAATGATTAGGACATTCATCGGGGCCCGGGCGTTTATTCAGCCCTAGTGCAAAAACAGCATGCTTCGCATCTTCCCCTTTGAACAAATCATCCACGTCCTCACTGCCATTTGGGGGTAGCTCCCTAACCACGCAATCGGTGACAGCACCAATGGCAAATCCAGAAGGATCGAAAGAGGCAAAAATCGCGAGAAATGCCTTAATAGAACTCTCATAAACTTATTACGGTTTTTCCAGCGAGAGGCACATTCATGGAAAAACCTAGAGTTTTGGTCGCCACCATTAAGCCAACCGCACGGGCTCTTTGGCGCCAGTAATAATCTTCAAGCTTGAGGAGGCGGTCAAAATCTTTTTCCAAGCGAGATCTGGAGATCTGTAGTAGAGGGAAGCAAGTTCTGACTGAGCAGCTGCAATTCTTTTTGGGGTACAACCAAAAGTCGAGGAACTCCACTCACGAATCTGAGCTTTGCACGTAGACAACCGGCCAATAAAATTTGTGTAGATTATTGAGTTTGATTTATATAAAGGGTATATTTAACTTCTAAGGAGCATGCACTTAGGACATTTTTATTTTAATGAATATTCATTTGTTCTTTTGAATCATGGTGAGGAAGAAAATGAGCCAGTTAAAGGTCTTCGTCATTGTTGGTTCAATATTAGTTTGCTTTCTAAGTTTTTTTTTTCTTTTTTGTTTTTGGAAAGGTCATAATATTAGATAGACGCCATTTTGGTTTTTTTTTTTTTTTTTTTTTAAACTGGAAAGGTCATAATATTATATAGGCGCCCTTTTGGTTTTTTTTTTTTTTTTTTTTTTGAAACTGGAAAGGTCATAATATTATTAAGACGCCTTTTTTTTTTTTTTTTTTTTTTTTTTTTTTTTTTGAAACTGGAATGGTCATAATATTAGATAGACGCCATTTTGGCACTTACAACTTGCTCAATACAATTCGGGAAATCCTCCATCCAATAGAAAGTCTGGAATATTTTCCAATGGTTTCATGACAAAAGGTTAATGTTTCTCTTTGGATAGAATGTTGTAGTGGAGGAATGAATTGAAAGATTTGCACATACGTTATGGTTATTGTTTATTTAATGTTGAAAAAATGTAATTGTTGAAGGAGAAAGATAGGAAAAGATGTACAAATATTGCTTACTCATTTTAGTTGATGTTGATTCAGACATTGGTTAAGTTGAATTATGAAATACTTCTTTTCCTATCCCGGTATCATCGGAGGGTTTAATAAGACTAAACTGTAAAGTTACATTTTTGTGTCCATGTATTAATCTTGAGTTTTTGTGTTTTCTTTTTCTATGGATTAGTGCTTGAGTTTGGAGCTATGGATTTTAAGCTTTCATTGTGTGCTGGCAGCCAGAGCACCAGGCTAGTGGCCTTGAACCAGTTCTGGTTGCTGCTATTCCCACTATGAAGTTCAACCAAGAGGCTTTTAGTTCTATAGAAGAGAGTAATTTTAGCCGCCTATATTTGAAGAATCTTAATGTGTCTATCAAAGATTCATATTTAATAATTGGTTTGTTACTTCGATAGGGTATCCATACCAGTGTTGCATGTTTTCGAACGTCAGATATGATCAAAATTACACCAAAATGAAAAAATATGCAAAGTTGACATAGCCCAATAAAGATCTCAGACTTCAAAACCATACCCTACCAAATAGGATCTTTTGTTCTTTCCTACCAAAAAAATTCTCTATCATATTATTATTATGTGTCATTTTAGCAAGTCAAATAATTCGGGCTATTTGAGATTTCTGTTAAAAAAAAATTACATGTATTTACTTCATGTCAATCATTTTGAAAAAAGCAACTTCTATAAAAAAGTGTAATGATCTATGTATTGCCCATTTTTATCAAACGGGTTAATGTTAAGAAATTTGTACAGAAGCAATTCTGAGAGCCCTAGAATCAAATCCCAAATGTGCATCAAAAATCTTACTGCTCTTAGAATTACTTGCTTATTGTTCTTTATATGAAATCTCCATGGGACCTAATCCTATTGAACACATACAAGTTTGAAAGCTTTTAGTCATTCTTTTCATTTTTTACATGCAGGTGCTCAATATGTTTGGGTGAGTACCAAGAGAAGGAAGTACTAAGAATCATGCCCAAATGTGGCCATAATTTCCATCTCTCTTGCATTGATGTATGACTGAGAAAACAGTCCACTTGTCCAGTTTGCCGTCTGCCATTACAAGAATCTCTGGGCACAAAACATGGCATGCCAGTTATGTTTAGCAGGACTCAATCCTTTGATGATTCTGAGGTCCCAAGTGAACACTCTCAGCAGTGGCTAATGCCCGGCCACGAACGTTCCAAGGCCAACAACACTAGCAACCAAAGCCATGTAGAAGAATCTCTCCCCGTAGACCACTCTCAACCAACCACATCTGGAGAATCAGAAACAACACAAACAAGACAATGATCATCAAACATTGGTTGTTCTAGGACAGGTAATGCTTCTTGGAGTGTCCAACGGGCAATGAGTCATTTCTTTTTTTGTAAAAGGAAGGTGGGGTAGGTGAGGAAATGACAATCGTTGTTATTGTTTGTTTTGAGTGATGATTGGTCTTTATACATAATCTCTTTTTTCATGTTTTGAGGGAATGGAAATCCGTGGTAGGCAGATTGGAGGTTTCTCATACTTTCTTTGTACATAAAAAAAGTCACTTTCTTTTGTAGCATGACGCAAACTGAAGTGGTGCTAATTTACTGTGACAAAATTCTCACAGTTTGTCTTAAAATACAGTCAAGTTTCTGCGCTCAGCTTTACGTTGACAAATACTAAAACTTTGTATATTCTAGAGTAAATTGCACCGTTGTACTTAAATTATTCGTTTTTTTTTTTTCATGATGTGCCTCAAACTTTTAATTTTCATAAATTACATCCTAAACTTTAAGATCAGTTGCAATTGAGATCTAATAGAGAATGTTATCAAATTGAGGTTTAAGACACGAGAGTTGTACATAAAAAGCAAATATCGTCATTTTTCAATCCATGTCACGTGCAAATGTCATGTCTCGAACAATCAATTTGTTAACATTATCAGCTATTGAACTTCAATTACAACTGATTTTAAAGTTCAGAATACAATTTATCAAAATTAAAAGTCTAGAGTCCATTATATAAATAACAGAATAATTCAAAGTACTACAGTACAATTTACTCTATATTCTATTATATCTACTGTCATGTATGTAAAGAAAAATATGACAATAGAGTCGCTGATTCATGAGACATGTTGAGGAACCTTTTTGAAACATCTTTTTTTTATTATTATTATTTTATGATCGACCAATAATACCATTTTGGAGATGGCAACTTCGTATGCGTAATTCTTCACGCATTACCATGAATGCTGATAAATATCTGAAACTCCTTGGCATGTGCAGCCTCATATGGAGTATGGATACTGTAATTTTTTAGGATCCGTTTATTTCATATACTTAAATTTAAATCATTAATTATATTATAATATTTTTATCTCATAAAAAATTTAAATTTCAAACGTCAGAATCAATAATCATAATTTAATTATACATTCTAAACAAGTCCCAAGAAACTTTAAGTGGTTCTTTAATCCAAATGGAGGCTCATTTTATTGGCTTCATTTGTGTGTATTAACGATAGATATTTAAAATAAAATTAAAAAAAAAAAGTAGGGTTTGTTGTGCGACTGCAGCTCGGACGGATCAATCAGGCCGGCCTTCTAACACAAGAAGCTTGTCCAAGAGTGCATGCTTCTCATATTCAAGGCTCTTCACCTCATCTTCAACCTCTCTCAAATCTCTCCCCAGCGTGAAGCTCTCTTCCTCCAGCAGCAGGTATTTCCGCCTCAGTGCCCGGTACTCGTTTCCAGAAGCGGATGAGTCTGGTAACGAATCTGAATTCGACGTTTCCGGTTGGTGAATCATCGGAGAAACGTCATTCCTTAAAGCTCTTTTTGAGACCTTTTGCCCTGCTTTCAATGGCACAGAACCTTGTACATCTTTAACTGTTTTGACATCATGCCTTTTCATCTAAAACAAAGGAGCTTTTTGGGTCGACATCTTCTTCTTTTGAGGTTTATGGCTTGGCACCTCATCAGGTATTGGCATCCTTGGATCTTGCATTTCTCACCCAAGCACTATACGGAAGAAGAACATAAACGACTTATAAGTATCGCTACATAATCAATCAAAAGGAAAGAAAATCTCATTTATCAAAGGATTAAAATAACCTAAGCTTCAAATTTGACAATACTCTTTCACAGAGAATAAGAACAGGGGGAAAAAAGAAAAGACTAACAAACAACAAAAACTACCCGACAATCAATAACTAGAAACTTAGATAGTTTCTCAAAATGATAAATTATACCATTACTATTTCTGTCGTTCTCTATTCTCTGCATTTATTATTTGACTCTATTATCTCATTTTCTATTTAAATAATAATATATGTATTAGTAAAGTCTACGTGTTAAACAATGAATGCAAGTATCAAACACGTATCAAACAGTAAATGACAAAGAGAGTATTAAAAGAAGATACTAACATTTTTCAAAACTTAAATCAAACTCTTAACAAAAATTCTAAGAAATTAAACTTAAAACTAGTTTCTATTTTTATTATATTGATCATGCTCATAAGTTATGCTTGTTCGTCGTCACTTTTCAAGTTGAGTGATATTCCTTATATGAAAACAAAACAATTAGATTGTTGGTTATGACTTTAGGTGAGATCAACTTAAGTTGCCGGTTTGATTCATTCTAGAGTCATTGGTTATTGTTCTTCCCTAAAACTATTCTAGGTCTTTAATTAAGAAAAGAAAAAAAGGCAAGTGAAACTGTCAAAGATCAAAATACAATGGTAGACACAATTATTGAGCCCTACTAAAAAAACAAAAAAAACAAAAATTTATTGAGCCATGAGTTTAGAATAATGTTTGAGAGAGTCAAATTCCTCTTCCAAAATTCTCAAGAAGCAATCATAAAAACTAAAGCCAGAAATCAAAATCAAATTAAACCTACTGAAGCAGAGCAAAATTAAACCTAACGGATCGGCATAAAGGCATAATCCAAAATTTCAATACAAACACCCAAAAAAAAAAAGAATGGAAAGGAAAAAAAAAATCATACCTTTTAACGAATGGTGATAAAACCGAATAACCGTAATAATACTGTAACCCCAAACATAAACTAAATAAATAATCGAAGGAAAAAGAAAAAAAAAGAAAAAACTCACCAATGAAAACTAGGGAGAGATCACCAGGCACAGCCGCCTATTTCCAGAGAAGAAAAAATTAAAATAAAAGAAAAGGCGACAATGACGAACGAAAGAAATAATTAATATAATAATGACTTATTTAACACGGTCATAAAAGGTTTAACATGTTTATTGATCAATTTATCTTTTCTTTTAAGAAAAATAAATGAAGATAAAATTCACATTATTTATATTTAATATCATACAAACTTTCATGTTATATCACATATCATTATATTGTAGATGACACATTTAGTTAATCGTGTCAATTCGTGTTGGGAGGTCAACCCTAACCTAACCCATTTATTAATGTGTTAATCGTGTCAACTCGATTATGACTCAAACTCATTTATAGTAAACCCAAACTCGCTAACTTCGTGCAGGTTTTGAATCGTATCGTCGTGTCGCTACTTAGATTGTTAGTCTTATTTTTTTTAGTGCTCTTTTCTCTTTCTTTTCTTTCTTTTTTTTTTCACTCAATTCTTCTTTACATTTTCCTCCAAATGCATGTAGCACTTTTGCTTCCTTTTCTTCTTTCATCTTCTCTCTCACCAATTCCTCATCTTGCTAATTTCTTCGTCCATTCACGTCTTCATCTTCTATCTTCTTCCCCAAAAGAATCCTCCCCTCAAGACATTCTCACCTTCAAAAGTAAGTTCTTCAGTTTTTTTATTCCTATAATTTTGTTTTTTGGATTAATTCAATAAATGCTCCCTGAAGCATGTGTCCTATTTCAAAATGCATCTCAATTTTTTAAAACAAATCAAAATACCTTTTGATGTATAGAAAACAGATTAAAACATCCCCTTCATCCACTTTCAACTATAATGTTAATGGATATGATGATGTGACATACAATTAATAATTAACTAAAGCCATTAAATTCTAACTAAATCTTTAAAAATAATTAAATGTTAAAAAACAAAAAGAAACTTTCTAACAACATAGTATTTATATTAAAAAAAAAAGACCAGAATTGTATTCTCCTTCTTCCTTAAACTTTTACACCCAAATCCAAACCTTCAACTCACCAAAATCCAAAGAATCAGATATGCTAAATAATATTGTCGTGCTTTAATCTAAATAATATTTTCATGAAGAATTATATCTATCATGTTCTTTTTTTGATAGGCACATCTGGTCATGCATGAACATTTATTTGGATCAGTGCATAACAATGTTTTATTTGTCATATGTTTATAAACGACTTCTAATTCCCAAAATAGTAACTCTTACGACTTAATGCAAGAAAATTATGCCAATCATTTAACCGATTATGCTAATTCTTTAATTGGTTACGATGGGAGAAATTTTGCCGATAAAAGTGGTGTAGGACCACATAAAAGGCATTTTTTAATATAATAATTTTTATTAAAAAAAGCCTCTTTTAATATAATATATTTTTTAAAAAAATCTCCTTTTATTTTTAATATTTAATTATTTTTATAGCTTTAGTTAAAATTTAATGGCTTTACTTAATTGTTAATTGTATGTCACACCATTAAATCCGTTGTAGACGGAAGTAGATGGAAGTAGAGTTTTGATATGTTTTCTATACATGGAGGTGTTTTCAACTGTTTTGAAAAATCAGGGAACATTTTGATATAAGGTACATAATTTAAGTGGCATTTATGAAATCAATCATTTGTTCTTTTTCTTTGTATTTTTCTTGTTGATATATTGTCAAATTTGAAAGTTTAGAAATTTGATAGAAAACTATTGAGTTCAAAGATTATGAGTTTTTCTCATGTTTTCTTGAAGTTTTTGGGTCATTAAGAAGAACACTGATTTGATTATTCTATTTTTTGATACAACAATTAAGTTGATCCTAAGTCTGCATCCAAGGACGTAAAAGTGTTCGCATTCTCAGAAATCGCAATCTCTCTCTCTCTCTCCCTCACTCTCAAAGGAATTATTTTTTTTTAATTTATTTTGTCTAGCAAATTTATTCTTCATTATGATTTCCTTTTTATGATAAATGTTAGAATTTGGAAAGGTGAGAAAAACCAGAAATGAGACAAAATGAAGATAAAATAGACATTTGAATTTTTTACGTGAAAAATCCCCAAACAAAACCAAAGGCAAACTATAGAAGGATTTTACTATTGCAAAAGCATTGCAATAACTTCTCTCTAAAATAAGGAGAGCACAATAACAATACCTTCTCTCTTATAATACGATAAAAACACTATCCTTAACAAATGAAAGAACTGCAATATTTAAGAGAAACATGACTTTTCTGTCTCTAAGCTTTTCCTCTCTCTCTCTATATTTGTTTTCCCCATTGATGCTAAGAATCAACTACCATAGCACCTATATATAGATGCAATGAGGTGGTTAAAAATGGTATGAATATAATACAATTGTGGCTGCCCATTAAGGCTTAGTTTGGTAGTGCTGTAGATTTTAAAAAAATTACTTTTAGCTGTGCTGAAGAAAGAAGCAGCTATTACAAAAAGCAGTTAGGTGTTTGGTAAACTATAATTATAGTAGCTGTACTCGTTCCAAAATCAGTGTAATATTATTTGGTAAATTATGAGGTTGAATTGCTGTGGATAGTTAAAATTTACGACTATATTATATTATACTATAACATAATATATATAATTATAATATAATATATATTTATTATTATATTTAATATAATACAAAAAAATGTTATTATATAATTATATATAGAATATAATAATACTATTAAAATAATAACTGAAATAATTAAAAATAATGATTATATTATATTATAATTACAATATAATGCATATTTATTATTATATTAAATATAATACAATAAAACTATTATTAAATAACATATTATATAACTATGATATAGAATATAATAATATTATTAAAATGGTTAATATAATTATAATATTATAATATTTCAGTTATA